CTGGGTCAAATGGAATTTCTATTTCTAAGGACTTGAGGAATCGCCACACTGTCTTCCACAATGGTTGAACTAATTTACACTCCCACCAACAGTGTAAAAGTGTTCCTTTTTCTCCACATCCTCTCCAGCATCTGTTGTCTCCAGATTTTTTAATGATCGCCATTCTAACTGGCGTGAGATGGTATCTCAATGTGGTTTTGATTTGCATCTCTCTGATGACCAGTGACGATGAGCATTTTTTCATATGATTGTTGGCCTCATATATGTCTTCTTTCGTAAAGTATCTGTTCATATCCTTTGCCCACTTTTGAATGGGCTTGTTTGTTTTTTTCCTGTAAATCTGCTTCAGTTGTTTGTAAATTCTGGATATCAGCCCTTTGTCAGATGGGTAGACTGCGAAAATTTTTTCCCATTCTGTTGGTTGCCGATCCACTCTAGTGACTGTTTCTTTTGCCGTGCAGAAGCTGTGGAGTTTCATTAGGTCCCATTTGTCTATTTTGGCTTTTGTTGCCAATGCTCTTGGTGTTTTGTTCATGAAGTCCTTGCCTACTCCTATGTCCTGGATAGTTTTGCCTAGATTTCCTTCTAGGGTTTTTATGGTGCCAGGTCTTATGTTTAAGTCTTTAATCCATCTGGAGTTAATTTTAGTGTAAGGTGTCAGGAAGGGGTCCAGTTTCTGCTTTCTGCACATGGCTAGCCAGTTTTCCCAACGCCATTTGTTAAACATGGAATCCTTGCCCCATTGCTTGTTTTTGTCAGGTTTATCAAAGATTGTATAGTTGTATGTATGTTGTGTTGCCTCCGGTGCCTCTGTTTTGTTCCATTGGTCTATATCTCTGTTTTGGTACCAGTACCATGCTGTTTTGATTACTGTAGCCTTGTAGTATAGTTTGAAATCCGGTAGTGTGATGCCCCCCGCTGTGTTCTTTTTGCTTAGAATTGACTTGGCTATGCGGGCTCTCTTTTGGTTCCATATGAAGTTCAAGGTGGTTTTTTCCAGTTCTGTGAAGAAAGTCAATGGTAGCTTGATGGGGATAGCGTTGATTCTGTAAATTACTTTGGGCAGTATAGCCATTTTCATGATATTAATTCTTCCTAACCATGAACATGGAATGTTTCTCCATCTGTTTGTATCCTCTCTGATTTCGTTGAGCAGTGGTTTGTAGTTCTCCTTGAAGAGGTCCCTTACGTTCCTTGTGAGTTGTATTCCAAGGTATTTTATTCTTTTTGTAGCAATTGTGAATGGCAGTTCGTTCTTGATTTGGCTTTCTTTAAGTCTGTTACTGGTGTAGACGAATGCTCGTGATTTTTGCACATTGATTTTATATCCTGAGACTTTGCTGAAGCTGCTTATCAGTTACAGGAGTTTTTGGGCTGAGGCGATGGGGTCTTCTAGGTATACTATCATGTCGTCTGCAAATAGAGACAATTTGGCTTCCACCTTTCCTATTTGAATACCCTTTATTTCTTTTTCTTGCCTGAATGCTCTGGCTAGAACTTCCAGTACTATATTGAATAGGAGTGGAGAGAGAGGGCATCCTTGTCTAGTACCAGATTTCAAAGGGAATGCTTCCAGTTTCTGCCCATTCAGTATGATATTGGCTATTGGTTTGTCATAAATAGCTTTTATTACTTTGAGATACGTTCCATCGATACCGAGTTTATTGAGGGTTTTTAGCATAAAGGGCTGTTGAATTTTGTCAAAGGCCTTCTCTGCGTCAATTGAGATAATCATGTGGTTTTTGTTTTTGGTTCTGTTTATGTGGTGAATTACGTTGATAGACTTGCGTATGTTGAACCAGCCTTGCATCCCTGGGATGAATCCTACTTGATCATGATGAATAAGTTTTTTGATTTGCTGTTGCAATCGGCTTGCCAATATTTTATTGAAGATTTTTGCATCTATGTTCATCATGGATATTGGCCTGAAGTTTTCTTTTCTCGTTGGGTCTCTGCCGGGTTTTGGTATCAGGATGATGTTGGTCTCATAAAATGATTTGGGAAGGATTCCCTCTTTTTGGATTGTTTGAAATAGTTTTAGAAGGAATGGTACCAGCTCCTCCTTGTGTGTCTGGTAGAATTCGGCTGTGAACCCATCTGGACCTGGGCTTTTTTTGTGAGGTAGGCTCTTAATTGCTGCCTCAACTTCAGACCTTGTTATTGGTCTATTCATAGTTTCAGCTTCCTCCTGGTTTAGGCTTGGGAGGACACAGGAGTCCAGGAATTTATCCATTTCTTCCAGGTTTACTAGTTTATGTGCATAGAGTTGTTTGTAATATTCTCTGATGATGGTTTGAATTTCTGTGGAATCTGTGGTGATTTCCCCTTTATCATTTTTTATTGCATCTATTTGGTTGTTCTCTCTTTTATTTTTAATCAATCTGGCTAGTGGTCTGTCTATTTTGTTGATCTTTTCAAAAAACCAGCTCTTGGATTTATTGATTTTTTGAAGGGTTTTTCGTGTCTCAATCTCCTTCAGCTCAGCTCTGGTCTTAGTAATTTCTTGTCTTCTGCTGGGTTTTGAGTTTTTTTGATCTTGCTCCTCTAGCTCTTTCAATTTTGTCGATAGGGTGTCAATTTTGGATCTCTCCATTCTCCTCATATGGGCACTTATTGCTATATACTTTCCTCTAGAGACTGCTTTAAATGTGTCCCAGAGGTTCTGGCACGTTGTGTCTTCGTTCTCATTGGTTTCGAAGAACTTCTTTATTTCTGCTTTCATTTCGTTGTTTACCCAGTCAACATTCAAGAGCCAGTTGTTCAGTTTCCATGAAGCTGTGCGGTTCTGGGTCGGTTTCTGAATTCTGAGTTCTAACTTGATTGCACTATGGTCTGAGAGGCTGTTTGTTATGATTTCAGTTGTTTTGCATTTGTTGAGCAGTGCTTTACTTCCAATTATGTGGTCCATTTTAGAGCAGGTGTGATGTGGTGCTGAGAAGAATGTGTATTCTGTGGATTTGGGGTGGAGAGTTCTGTAAATGTCCACCAGGTTTGCTTGCTCCAGGTCTGAGTTCAAGCCCTGGGTATCCTTGTTGATTTTCTGTCTGGTTGATCTGTCTAGTATTGACAGTGGAGTGTTAAAGTCTCCCACTATTATTGTGTGGGAGTCGAAGTCCTTCTGTAAGTCATTAAGAGCTTGCCTTATGTATCTGGGTGCTCCTGTGTTGGGTCCATATATGTTTAGGATCGTTAGCTCTTCTTGTTGTATCGATCCTTTTACCATTATGTAATGGCCTTCTTTGTCTCTTTTGATCTTTGTTGCTTTAAAGTCTATTTTATCAGAGATGAGAATTGCAACTCCTGCTTTTTTTTGCTTTCCATTAGCTTGGTAAATCTTCCTCCATCCCTTTATTTTGAGCCTTTGTGTATCCTTGCATGTGAGATGGGTTTCCTGGATACAGCACACTGATGGGTTTTGGATTTTTATCCAATTTGCCAGTCTGTGTCTTTTGATTGGTGCATTTAGTCCATTTACATTTAGGGTTAATATTGTTATGTGTGAATTTGATACTGCCATTTTGATTCTAAGTGGCTGTTTTGCCTGTTAGTTGTTGTAGATTCTTCATTATGTTGAAGCTCTTTAGCATTCAGTGTGATTTTGGAATGGCTGGTACTGATTGATCCTTTCTATGTGTAGTGCCTCTTTTAGGAGCTCTTGTAAAGCAGGCCTGGTGGTGACAAAATCTCTGAGTACTTGCTTGTTCGCAAAGGATTTTATTCTTCCTTCACTTCTGAAGCTCAGTTTGGCTGGATATGAAATTCTGGGTTGAAAGTTCTTTTCTTTAAGGATGTTGAATATTGGCCCCCACTCTCTTCTGTCTTGTAGTGTTTCTGCCGAGAGATCTGCTGTGAGTCTGATGGGCTTCCCTTTGTGGGTAACCCGACCTTTCTCTCTGGCTGCCCTTAGTATTCTCTCCTTTATTTCAACCCTGTTGAATCTGACGATTATGTGCCTTGGGGTTGCTCTTCTTGCGGAATATCTTTGTGGTGTTCTCTGTATTTCCTGCAATTGAGTGTTGGCTTGTCTTGCTAGGTGGGGGAAATTTTCCTGGATGATGTCCTGAAGAGTATTTTCCAGCTGGGATTCATTCTCTTCGTCCCCTTCTGGTACACGTATCAAAGGTAGGTTAGGTCTTTTCACATAGTCCCACATTTCTTGGAGACTTTGTTCATTCCTTTTTGCGCTTTTTTCTCTGATCTTGGTTTCTCGTTTTATTTCATTGAGTTGGTCTTCGACTTCAGATATTCTTTCTTCTGCTTGGTCAATTCGGCTATTGAAACTTGCGTTTGCTTCGCGAAGTTCTCGTATTGTGTTTTTCAGCTCCTTTAATTCATTCATATTCCTCTCTAAGGTATCCATTCTTGTTATCATTTCCTCGAATCTTTTTTCAAATCTTTTTTCAAGGTTCTTAGTTTCTTTGCATTGATTTAATACATGATCTTTTAGCTCACAAAAGTTTCTCATTATCCATCTTCTGAAGTCTAATTCCGTCATTTCGTCACAGTCATTCTCCGTCCAGCTTTGTTCCCTTGCTGGTGAGGAGTTTTGGTCCTTTCTAGGAGGCGATGTGTTCTGGTTTCGGGTGTTTTCCTCCTTTTTGCGCTGGTTTCTTCCCATCTTTGTGGATTTGTCCGCTGGTCGTCTGCGTAGTTGCTGACTTTTCGTTTGGGTCTCTGAGTGGACACCCAGAATGTTGATGATGAAGTATTTCTGTTGCTTGGTTTTCCTTCTACCAGTCTAGCCCCTTCGCTGAATGACTGTTGAGGTCCGCTCCAGACCCTGCTTGTCTGGGGTGCACCTCTAGTAGCCGTGGCACAGCGAGGGATGCTACCAGTTTTTTTTTCTGCTCTCTTTGTCCCAGGATGATGCCTGCCTAATGACAGTCTTTTGGATATAGAGGGGTCAGGGAGCTGCTTGAGGAGACAGTTTCTACTTTATAGGGGTTTAATTGCTGAGCTGTGCACTCTGTTGTTCATTCAGGGCTTTTAGGCTGCTATGTTTGATTCTGCTGCAACACAGCTCATTAAACAACCCTTTTTTTTTTCTCAAATGCTCTGTGTTGAGGGGTTTGGGCTTTATTTTTGGATGTCTGATCAGGTGTCCTGCCCAGCTCCAAGGCAGACTAGCCACTGTTTGGCTGCCGATGCTCTGCCCTGCTGTTGTGTGATTCGCGCTGTTCCTGCCGGCTCTGCTGTGGTCTCCGCCACGCCCTGCGGCGGAGTCTCTTCGTTGTAGCGTGTTGCCTCAGCAACGGCAGGCTGCGTCAGCAGTGGGCGTGTATCTCAGTAGGGACGGGTTGCCTCGGCAACGGCTGGCTGCGTCAGCAGTGGGCGTGTATCTCAGTTGGGGCGGGTTGCCTCTGCAACGGCTGGCTGCGTCATCAGTGGGCGTGTATATCAGTTGGGGCAGGTTGCCTCAGTAGTGGTGGACGCCCCTCCCCCACAGAGCGTCTCCGGCCGTCTGCTTGGGGTAGTTTGAAATCGCGGTTTTGTTCGTCCCACTGGGTATCCCAAACGATCTGTCCCTGCAATCCCCTGGGCTGGGCTACTGTGCAAGTCTCGTTCAGTCTCAAGTCCAGCCCTCTCAAGTCTCAGGTTGCCGGTTCAACAAGGCACCCGGACAAGCGCGCCCTGTGGGGATTGCTGGGTAGGGCCGGCCGCCGCCGCCCCGGCTGCCGGCTTCGCCAGGCAGACCTACTGCCTGGCGTCCCGTGTCTTTTTATACTTGGGAGTTTCCCCGTTCTGTGGGCAACAAAGATCAGTCTGGAAATGCAGCACTGACTCACCGTTTGCGAATTCAACGCGGGCTCCAATCCTGGGTTGTTCTCACAGCGCCATCTTGAGTCCCCTCCCTGTATTCTTATAAATATTCTTCAGCTTTATTCTGGAATGCAGTAAAATTACTTGAAAACAGTTTAATTCTTCTGAGGCTTGCTTTTAAGCTTTGTTTGCCAGAACCTAAGTAACATTTACTAGGGGCTAATTTTTCCCCAGTACTGAGGCAATAACCTTCTGACTATTCCACCTGATGTCCTATGAGTCACTAGATTTTTCCTCTCTGGCTATTGGGAACACAAACTATTGCTGACCCTGTGTGAGCTCTGAGGATTGCTTCTTGAATTCTTTGAGGGAGTAGTTTCATCACATATGTGCACTGTTCAGCACTCCGATGGATACATCGAGGAACCCTTCTGCAAGTCTTAGGAGTTCTCTCCATGCAGTTGCTCCTCTTTGGCGCTCTGCCTTGTGAACCCCAGCCAACTTGAACTCCCTGGACTCAGTCCTCCTCCCTGCTGCAGTGTGAACTCTCTAGAAAGTATGGCTAATGCAACTGAGGAACCCAGTGTTGAATTTTAAGTTTAATGAATTTCAACTTAAATGTAGGTAGCCATGGATAGCTAGTGGCTACTGCCATAGATGGCTCAATCTCTAGGGCAGCTGGTAGACAGCCTGGGATGAGGGGTCCCTGCTCTTCCTTTGGGAAGTGAGCTCTGCTCTCCCTGCAGTCAGGACATGTGTGAGCTCAGCTGGCTCTGATCAGCCTGGAAAACCACAATGGAGAGCTCACCTGTTCATCACTTGTCCAAGGTGGGCCTAAGATTGGCCTAGTTCAAGCTGGGTGCTATGATTTGAATGTTTGTCTCCTCTAAAACTCATATTGAAACATAATCCCTAATGTGGCAGTGTTAAGAGATAGAGCCTTTGAGAGGTGATTGAGTCAGAGGGTCCTGCCCTCATTAATGGATTAATCCATTCATGGATCAATGGATTAGTGGGTTGTCATGGAAGTGAGACTGATGGCTTTATAAGAAGAGGAAGAGAGACCTGAGCTAGCATGCTTAGCGCCCTCCCCATGGGATTCCTGGTACTTCCTCAGGACTCTGCAGAGTCCCCATCAGCAAGAAGGCCCTCACCAGATACACCCCCTTGTCATGGACTTCCTGTCCTCCCAAACTATAAGAAATATATTTTTAAATATAAATTACCCAGTTTCAGGCATGCTGTTATAAGCAACAGAATATGGACCAAGATAGCGGGTTTTGCAGCAGAGTTAGCAGTTTACCGTTTACTGCAGTATGGCAGGTGCTTAGCTAGGCTCTGGTTCCCAAAGAGCCCCCTCTTCTAGCCCAGTTCTGTCAGAGCTTGACTCAGCAGCAGTGCTGTGAGATCCTTAACTGAAGGACCATTTCCGATTCACCTCTGTATCTCCAGGGCCTACCACAGTGCTTAATACAGATTAAGGTGCTCAGTAAATATTGATTCAGTGATTCAAAACACTAGGTAAAACCAGGTAAGAATGCCTACCATCTGTTCTTTACAAAGCTATATTTTGATGATTAATTATCTAGTAAATTGATTATCAAAATGTTTTTGTGAGCAGATTTTAAATAAAATATTTGGAATGATTATATTACAAAAATATTCTGGATATATATGTACTTAAATTCACACATACAAGATTGAAGTGTTATAGAAAAATCTTTGAGCTTTTTGTAATTTTATCTCTTCAAACTGCATTTTAAATGTTATGCAATATTTCCACTTTTTAGAATAAAAAGATGGTTATTTTTATGTGCATAACAATAACAGATGGTTCAACCCAGGGTATGGAGAGAAAGGGAGGTAATTCCAACATCTCTCTAATTGACAGAGAAGAAGATTTTGTTAATGATCAATCAATGGGCTTATTGCCTGATGCATATAGAGGCTAATATCATGGCACCGGCTTTTGGAAAAAGAAAAGCTTTATTGCAAGTGGGCTGGCAAGGAGACAGGAGGAAATGCTCAAATCTGTCATCCTAAGGTGGGGTTTGGGTTGGTTTTTATAAGCATAGAGTAATGAGATGTGATCTGATTGGATCTTGTAATGAGGTGATGCTGGGAGGCTCTGACTGGATCCTGGATGGGATGAAGTCAGAGCTCAACAACGTTGGATCCTGCCATGTCATATCTGCTTGATGCCCTCCTCCTTGATCTGAGCACTTGGTTTCCCCTGTGGCCGCATGCTTGGTTCATCTAGGCAGCATGCTCAGGTTACATGACCTGAGGGTTCATGGCAACTGAAAAACAACTCACAATTTTGTTACATAAAAGTCGAACCAAGGCTGGGCGAGGTGGCTCACACCTGTAGTCTCAACACTTTGGGAGGCCAAGGAAGATCACTTGAAGCCAGGAGTTCAAGACACCAGTGGGGATAACATAGCAAGACCCTGTCTCTATAAAAAAAAATTAAAAATCAGCTGGGCACAATGGCATGTGCCCGTAGTCCTAGCTACTCAGGAGGCTGAGGTGGGAGGATCACTTGAGCCCAGAGTTTGAGGCTGCAGTGAGCTATGATTATACCACTGGACTCCAGCCTGGGTGACAAGCCAGACCCTGTCTCAAAAAACAAGGAAAAAAAAGGTTGAAACAGATTGATCTGGTGCAGCAACAAGCTAAGGCCCAGGGCACTAAAAAGAGAGCCCTTATGATATCTTCTACCTTAACCACAAGGATGCCCAAGTGTCCAGAGATGGATCCTGGACACAGGCTAAGGGACACTGTTACCCAGAAGCAGCCTCCTAGAGCCAGGGATCTTCAGAGGCTTGGTTAGAGTCTTAATTACCATAGGCTCCCAGTAAGTTGAAGGCCCAGGGGACTGAAGTTGATTCCTCAGGGAGAAGCTCCTTGTCACTTTAAGGTGTATTCAGTCCTCTTTGTGACCTTCCTTCTCTGAGGTTGACCCCTCAAAAGACTGCCTGTACTCGTGGCCTAAAACTCCATTGCTAGGCCTTATGCAGCGCTGATAAGAAGAGCTCGCTTGGAGGAGGTGTTGGGCCCATTCAAAGGAGGGAACGCCTTTACTCCTGCATGCCCAGATGAATTAAGCATGCAGCTACAGGGGAAACCTAAGTGCTCAGACCCAGGAGAGGGGCTGAATTAACCTTCTCCTGGAGAAAAAAAAAGTTTTTTCCAAAAAACTCCCATTTCGCTGGCATTGAGGGAGCCTGCACTAGCGGCCCAGTAACCACACGGCCCTTTCAGGGGGCTGCGCGGCTGCTTCGTTCCTCCGCCTTCCCAGAAGCCTCTGCGCGGCTTCACAGAGATTAAAAAGGCGGGAGCGGACCCGGCGGCTGTAGTTCTGGGGATTTTGTTTTAGCTCCTTAAGTTGCTGTGGGGCTGCTCCCAGGGCATAGCCTGGACACTGACTCCCTGGGACTTAGCCCAGATCCTCTGGAAGGCAGGCCATCGAGGGTCCAGAGGCGCCCGAGGCCTGGGGGAAGGGTGGGATATCAATGTGGTCGCTACGGGTGTATACCCGCAAAAAGCGGGCGGGTCAAAGGCTCAATCTCACCCCGACGCCAGACCTAGGCTCTCCCACGAAGGCGGAGACCCCACCAGGTCCAGGCTCAAGCCTCGCTCACTGTAAACCTCGCCAAACAGCCCTGCGGGGCGGGACCGGGGGCGGGCGGGGGTGCTAGGCCTCGGGCCCAGGGCCCCCCTGAAGCCGGTGGGTGGGTTTCCAGGGCTATTGCCCTGAAACATGCCGCCCTCTCTCAGGTTCGAAGAGAAAAAGCAAGGCGCACGGGTTGCCTAAGATTGCAGAGAAAACAGAGCAGAGCAGCCGGGGAAGTAGCAGCTCTAGACCGCCCAGGTACGTAGCCTCGAGTAAAAGCCCCACCCTGGCTGGCTGCCTCAGAAAACTTCAGTCTGAATTTTCTGCTAGTAGCCCTTTATTCTAACAGTCAGTGAAGAAAACAAATACAGTACTCTGATTTCACTCTTCTCAGAAAATAGGCCCCAAAATTTTACTGTGGAAAGATTTATTTTTAAAAGGGGGAAGGCTTCCCTGAGTTATGGTGGATAACATTGCATAGTTCATGGGCAATAAAAAAAAGGGGGCTGGGGAAGGTTTGCCAATTTACATAAAAGGAAGTGAGATAAATTGGTCCGTGAGCTATGATTGTGTCACTGCATTTGGGTATTGGTGCAAGTCATCACTGTGGTCCTTATTCCTAAAGATGTCCCTAAAGAGCCTTTCAGATTCTGAACAATCTGAACAGAGACAGGGAGAGCCAAGTTCAAATGGTGCAAACTAATTGTGTTGTTTGTTAGCCCTCGTTTAAGAATTACAGGAGAGAAAAGCCTACAAGAAAACAGGTCTAGTGAAGACATCCAGGATGAGAAGATTGCACCGTTGAGTGTATGTATGTTTCTCATTTAGTCCTTGGATACACTCAGTGTAGAGACTATCAGTACCTGAGGTACCTCCAGATGAAAGAATAAAACGTTCTTTGTTCAGTAGATGTTACACAGCTCTCCAGTATTTTTACAAAGACTGATGTGTCTTTAGACAGGGCCTTGAATTTATGACTTGGGGTAGATTCACATTCAGTCATACAGTTTTGTTTTTCTCTTTCCTTTGACAAGTTTTGGAGAAACGTCCATAATTGGTGAATTTTCTGTATGAGAAAAAACATTACTTAATAACTCCTTTTTCATGTTTTCCATTTGATTTTCCATTAACAACTGGAAACATATTGTATTTAATATGTTGCAGAGCATTCTAATTTTTATTCATTAGAATATTATGTAACTTCTTGAGGTGCTGTATTTAATATGAATTCTGTACTATATTTTAAAACTACACAGCACTAATTTAGGGAAACTCAGATTTTAAAAATTGCTTGTGACTCATCTGACATTAGCATTAAACTTCATAGTTAAGTTTCCTTTTTTATTGTTGTTGAGACAGAGTCTTGCTCTGTCACCCAGGCTAGAGTGCAGTGGTGCAATCTTGGCTCACTGACTGCAGCCTCTGCCTTCAGGGTTCAAGCGATTCTCTTGCCCCAACCTCCTGAGTAGCTGGGACTACAGGCATGCACCATCACCCAGTTAATTTTGGTATAGACAGGGTTTCTCTAGATTGGCCAGGCTGGTCTTGAACTCCTGGCCTCAAGTGATCCACCCACCTTGGCCTCCCAGAGTGCTGGGATGACAGGCATGAGCCATCGCACCTGGCCAAGTTCTATTTTTTTAACTTAATAATTCCTTTATAACATGTTTCTTGGGAAAGGCAGGTTCAACACAAGGCCTTTTTTTTTTTTTTTTTTTTTTTTTTGAGACGGAGTTTTGCTCTTGTTACCCAAGCTGGAGTGCAATGGTGCAATCTCGACTCACTGCAACCTCTGCTTCCTGGGTTCAGGCAATTCTCCTGCCTCAACCTTCTGAGTAGCTGGGATTACAGGCACGCACCACCATGCCCAGCTAATTTTTTGTATTTTTAGTAGAGACGGGGATTTCACCATGTTGACCAGGATGGTCTCGATCTCTTGACCTCGTGGTCCACCCGCCTCGGCCTCCCAAAGTGCTGGGATTACAGGCTTGAGCCACCGCACCCGGCCCACAAGGCATTTTTTTTAAGGCTTTTATCCCATACTTTAACAGTGTAAAATAGTCCTTGTATTTACACTATACAAAAATAGTGTTTTGAAAGTTTCTTCAAATTTTAATGTATTTCTTTCTGTTCCTTTTTTTGCTGTGCTTCAAAAAAACTTACAAATTGTCTTATTGTATATTCTCATGCATTAAATAGTCTTCAAAAATGTGACCTTTAGTGTCTTCAAATTTTTTTGTTTTGTAGATAGATACACTGTAATTTGTATTACTGTTTCCCTGTGGTTGGGAAATTGAGATTGTTTCCTAGGTTTTGCTGTTATTGATATCCATAGACATTCTGTTACAAAAGCTTTTTGTTGTACCCCACATTGTTACCCTAAGATACTTTGCAGTGATCACAGGTTGGATCATGTTTCAAGTTTTTGATTCATGTTGATAAATCAGCACCAACTTACCTGAAACTTTTTTATATATGTGTGTGTGTGAAATATAGATAGATAGATGAAAAGTAGCATGTTATTTTACTTTTCATTTCTTTGAATGCTGGGGAAGTTGATTTTTTTCCTCAAATTATTGGCCATTTGTACTTTTCCGTGAAATGTCTATTATATATTAAAGATAGTTATACTTTTGTATACACATATATAACCAATGTTTCCATATTTGTTTACTTGCCTTTAATTTTATTTCTAGTATTTTAGACTTAACAGTTTTTTTCTTTTGATTTATATATTTCCCTCTATAGATGGAAAAAAAAGCCCCTCCCCATGAGGGAACCAGAGAAGTATTCACCTCTATCTGCTATTTGCTGTCATCCCACAGTAGTTAGTTGACTAGCATATTGTTGTTTACAAGATATGCTCATAGTATTATAATTTAATATTTATTTTTAGGTTTAATGTTAAATATCAGTTTAAATCTAAACAATAAACTGAATGAAAATATTATATATATGAAACATATCCAAGTTGATGTTTCCAAGCTAATCAAATCAATATGGTACAAGATAATAATATAAAAATGGTCAATCTCATAATTTTGCTGTATTTTTAATTCTTATTTCACTTAGGAATCAGTTACTGATACCCTCCAGGTTGACAGTAGTTCATCAAATAGCGAACTAGTATCAGGTAAGACTGTCTGATGTGAACTCCCTCTGCTTTCTGCCTTTCCTCCAAACATAAGCATCCATTCATATCTCTCCCCATCTTCCCATCTCAGTGGAAGAGGTGTCTTTTTCCTACTCCAAAGTGAATCCCTCTGACTGTGCTGTAAATCTCATCCTGAAAGCCTTTAGGCACATGCCAGTAAATGTGGTAATTACAGTTGTGATAAGCACTATAAAAGAGATTGACTTGAGTGTGATTAATTGAGTTTAGTTAGAGAAATTAGGGAAGACTTACATGAGGGAATGGTAATTGAATTAACATCTGAAGAAGAGTAGAAATTAACTTTGCAGAGATGGGTAAAGAGAAATTCAGGCAGAGGGAAGCTCTAACATGAGACTGAGCATTATGTGTTGAGTAACTGAAGAAGGCCAGTATGATTGCAGTACAGAGAGTAGGAGGAAATGTGATTGTAAGACAGGATTAGACAACCAGTTTGAGGCCCTGCACAGCCTTGTAGTCTATATAAAAAATATTGATGTTTATATTCAGAGCAGCAGGAAGTCATTGAAGTCATTTTAATAGAGAGTGATATGATCACTTCAGCTACAGTGTGGAAGACGGACTGGAAAGAATCAGGAGTGCGGTTAAGAGGCTGTTCAAGTAATTTAGGGGAGAAATCATGCACCTTCTACTAGGATGGTGACATTGGAAATGGAAACAAGGTTGTTGATATGATGACTGTTTTAGGTAATGAGACAGGATTTGGCAAATGAAGAGTGAAGGCGATGGAAGTGTCAAAGATGACTACTGTTTCTGGCTTGTATAACTGGATACAAGGTAGTACCGTTCACTGAAAGAAAAACTGGTTTGAGGAAAAGACTAGAGATTCAGTTTTTAGTATATTAAGTTTTGAGTGCATTTAAGATGACTAAGTAGTAATATCAAACAGGTAGTTAGATATGGAGGGCTGGAGATAGAAATTTGTGAGCCATCTACATATTGGTATAATCAAAATTATTTTGAAAACAAGGAGGCCACCAGCACATCAGAAATACAGAAGAATTCTTAAAAGCAAATGAGACAAGATTGGTGAACATATCAAGAGCAAAAAAAACACTGCAGAGGTAAAAGTAGCTCTAGAAATACTCTAAATCCTTGATCAGTAAATGCAAAAGACTGCAATAGAAGAGGTCTTGAATGAATTGTCAAGGTGATGGGTTAAGAACTATATTTGAAATATCTGGTCCCTTTTTCATTATACCCTTCTTATATTGGAAATTCTGGCAGCTACCAGTGCCTGCTGCCAGGAGAAGACCCTGAGAATTACCCCAAGCAAAGTGAACTATCAGGGGAGCTGGCTCTTATGGGTCAATGTTGGGACTAGGTTGAAAAACAGAGGAGAGTCTGAATTAACTCCATATTGCCACATGATAGCAGAGGAAGAAAAAAGTAAAAGACATAGGCAATTCTTATGTTTGTTAACTCTACAATAAAGTTAGTATGCCTCTCTGAAGTGGGACTTCTGATACAACAGACTTCCAGTGTGGACCCTGGCCACTTAGGGCAGTGTCCCCAGGTAACCTACAATACCTAGAAAATACAGGACATCTCCACCTAGAACACAAGTTGCCAGAATGTCTCATCACTCTTCCAAAATCTCCAAAAGAAAGCCACTATTTCAGAATTTTTACTTACTGTCTTATAAAAAGATTCTCAGAGACATGAATAAGACAATGAGGAATAGCCAAACTTTTGAAGAAAACCAGTTCTATGGAAAAGAAGCAATAAATAGAGCAAACAGAACTAACATTTGAGGAAATGGCACAAAACTAACTATCTCTAGATACAAGAGGCCACTGAATCCATAATATAGCAAGCTGCTATAAAAAAATTATAGTCCCTGAGAACTAAAAATATTGTCAGATTAAAAACTTAACAAAAGAGCCTAATATTGGAATTAATTCAGCTAAAACTAGTGAGCTAGAAAATAGACTAGAGGAATATTTCCTAGAGTGCAGTGCAAAAGAACATAGGATGTACTCAGGAAATGCTTTTCTCTCCTTACTCTCCCTTCTTTGCCTTATTAACTTTTCTAGAAATAAATTTAGGAGCCATTTCTCCTGGGAATCCTCTCCTGACCTCTGTTCTCTTTTTCTAGGTGACGTGTTCTATTCTGGTAGTTCTGTGGCACTCTGTATACTTCTGTCAAAAGACTCAAAACCACAGTGTAATTGTTTTTGTCTGTCTTTTACTCTTGAAAAAGAGGAAAATAGCTCTAAAGCCATTGAGAATTAGCACTACCTTTTATCTTCCTATCCCATGCTTGGAATACAGTTTTACAGATAATACAGGTTCAGACAATTGTCGAGTGTTTCAGATGCTTGTTGGATGGGTCTTGTACTTTATTTAGAGAAAATACTGTCTAACCATAATCAGTATTTTCTAAAATCATAGTTTAAATATATGAGAAATGTCCTTGATTACTAGGTTTATCAAGTTGACATATGAAAGGTATAAGGAAATAGAAAATAAACTGTCTCTAACTTACAAACTGCTTGTATTCTAAGTGTTCATTTGCTAATTGATATTTGAAACTTGAAATAGTTTTTCCCACAATAAAATATTGTGATGGGCTAAGTTTTGAGCAGCCCACAAAATTCTAGTTAACATATGATGTATGATTTATTGTTTTAATTCTACCTCAGAATCTAGTAACTTTATAACACATTGAAAAATTAAGGATTTATATTGAATGTTGAAGATTGAATACACATTAACTTCTCTTTTCTGAAACCCTACTAAGACATCAGTAAAGGCATAAAAATGTTGTAAAGCCATAGGTTCAAAAAGAAGAGACCTCAGCTGGCAAGAGATAATTAATGAAAGTTTGGAATTTGGAAGGTAGATTAATGAATTATAATTGACCTAACAAATCTTAAAAAAAAAAAAAAGCTGAAAACTAGGCATCTAGAGTAGAGACAAACCAAGAAACAAACTGATTCAGGCTAAAGGTTCAGGAATTAGAGGCATTACATATTCCTGGAGGAAATCTTTAAAATAAGATTTTTTTGGACTCTTTAAAAGTAGCAGTTAGATGCTTTGATCCTTTCCCTAACACACTGTGGCCAGGCAACTATGCTTCTTTCCACCCTGGTAGTCTAAGATATTGAAGCAGAGGGACTGGATTCAAGGATACTGTACTGAAAACTAGCAGTGGCAGGGGAGGAAGGGAATTAAGTGAAAGTCTTACATTTTGATGTGAAATCCCCAGACCCCTAACGCACTCAGGCAAATACACTCCAATTAGAAGATTAGAGGATTCCTCTTGTGTGCCCAGGAGAAGACTGTGAAATTTGTGTGTTATGGCATTATGGCCTGGTCCCTGTCTAAATACTCTTCCGTAAAATCCACTTCTTCCAAAGCCCCAGTTACGATGCCATTTTGGTACCTCATTCTTGAACATTCATGAATTACCAGACATTTGAAGCAAACATTTAAAATAACAGATCCTAAAAGAAAAGAAAATAAAAATGAAAAAAACTTGAAGGACACAGACAATACAAGAAAAAATTCTTTTAAAAAGCCACAGATCATTAATATCCTCAAGATGATGAAAAAATGTTATGTCCATGAAACAAGTGCAGGCTCCTATAAAAAGCATTCAGCACTAAAAGAATTCATTTAAAAAAATAAAAAATGAAATCAAAAAACATTCTGTAGAATTGGATGATAAATTTAAGGAAATATTCCAATAATTTGAACAAACATGAAAGAGAAGATTAAGGATAGAAATAGTGTCAGTGGTGACAGAACTCCATAAGTATACAAAAACCCATTGATCGTACACTTTAAAAGAGTGAGTTTTGGCTAGGCATGGTGGCTCACACCTTTGGGAGGCCGAGGCAGGTGGATTGCCTGAGCTCAGGAGATCAAGACCAGTCTGGGCAACACAGTGAAACCCTGTCTCTACTAAAATACAAAAAATTAGCCTGGCGTGGCAGTGTTCACCTGTAATCCCAGCTTCTCGGGAGGCTGAGGCAGGAGAATCGCTTGAACCCAGGAGGTGGAGGTTGCAGTGAGCCAAGATTATGCCACTGCAGTCCAGCCTAGGCAAGAGAGCAAGATAGAGATCTCAAAAAAAAATTTTTTTTGAGTTTTATGGCATGTGAATTATATCTCAATAAAATTCTTATTTTAAAAAGAAAAAGAAGATGAGTCCAATGATTCTAATATCTAAAAAACAGCAGTTCAGACACTATAAACAGAAGGAAAATTATTAAACACAGAAAGCTAGAAAATTTCCTAGAATTAAAAATGGTCATGAGTATATTTGCTGAAAGAGACATTCAGATTCTGAATAGTATGAATGGAGATATGGAGAGTCAAATTTGGCTGGTGCAAACTGTGCTCACCACAACAAATTTTTTAAAAATTGCCAAGCTATAACATTATATAATATTTAAATCCTTAAGATAGAGAAATTTATTAGTTTTCCAGAGAAAAAATAATCAGTTGCAATAAGCAATGAAGAATATGAGTGGCACTGAATTTCTGAAGAACAACTCCAGAAGGTAGAACATGATGGGGAGAAAAATATTCAGAATTCTGAAGAACACTGATTTTGTAGAGTCAAGATGGACTCCCACTCAAAAGTTGTCCTGGATTTCAGTGCCATCCACACACTAAGAAGGTATGGAAAGGTATAGTACTCATATAATGAGCCTTTCTCGGGAGAAAGGTGACTCCAAGCAGGACTCAAAATGACTTGAGAATGCAGGGGAAGGAGAACTGGCCTGGAGTTTTCATGATGTTTAGAGGATGGGACCAGGTTGAGGCTTCCTGTGCATGGTTTGAACTTGGAACCATTGCAAAAAGATGGAACACCAAGGCTCTCTTGTCACTCAGATGTTAAGTGGGAAGGGGAAGAAAGAACAGTGAGGTTGAAAAGCTGTCACACATAAGCCAGGTGCAGTGGCTAACGCCTGTAATCCGAGCACTTAGGGAGGCCGAGGCGGGAGGAT